TTATTTGATCGAGGGTTACCTTATGGAGGTTTCACTTTAAGATATATATACTTTTTAAAAAGGTTGCGAAAAAAACAAATGTTCTAAAATTCAGAAAATCATTGTATATAATATAAAAATATGACTATTTTATAATAAAAGGAAGAACAATTAAATTTGGATACAAATATAAAATATTATATTACAATGCAGAATGTTAAATTTAATACATAATTAAGGAGTGAAAGTATATTGCATCTTTGACAGGGGACAAATAAAACAAATCGAAATTTTTATGTAAAATAACAATACGAATCATAAATATTTAGTTTAAGAATTATGAGTTATATAATAAGCTTAAGCGATATTAATAACTTGAATGACCTACACAACGCTATATAAATATAAAATATTCTTTGATACCTGGGTTGCTACAATTCTAGCCTTTTAACCCTAAGATCATGGTGAGTAATTTGTTATTAACCTAATAATTATATCCTCTTTTTTTATCCAAATCTGTATATCAAAGCTGCTAAATGGTATTTTACTAATGTATATAGATATCAATTCATGGCATAGGTGTATTTAGATTATTCAAGGTCTGCAATGGGCTAATTTTTAATCTGCTCACAGTCTTTGCTTGAATAGAATTTTAATTTGGCGGGACCGCTCAAAAAATTTAACTTCTTTTTATCTTTACATTTTTATCTTAAAGATTTTTTAGCATTAATTAAAAAAAAAGGTTGGGGGCATATTATGCCTCATTTCTCTCAATCAAGAACAAAAATTCATATAAATGCTTCCGATTATTGCTATACTACGCGAGGTCTAAGTCACATTAATGAAATAATAGATACCAAATTTATATCTTTTTTTCTAAGTATAAAGCTATCTCTACCCCATATATGTTTTTGTAGAGATCAATCTTGTAGAGATCAATCAGATGATATAAAGAGTTCTTAATTTAAACAAATTTTTAAATATAACGTTATACTTTTAGAGCAAAACCACTTGCTAACTTTAGGCCTTTGTTCATATCTTATATAATATACTTAGTTAATATAATCAAATTTAAAGAATATTTAATATGAGGCTATTTACAATTAGTGCATGTTATGTTGCATTAATCAAAATTTTAATCTTTATTCCATTTTTATAAATTATTAGTTATCATTTATCCTTAGAAGCTCATCTAAACCATGATATTTGGGTTCGCCACAATCTCATTTATGACCGAATAACCTTTCAATAATTCTATAGTAAAACGATTGTTTTTGTATAACAAAGGAGTCAAAAAAAAGTATTCTATATTTGACATTCTGGATAAATTTCAAAATCAAAGGAAACTTTAAAGAATTCTTTGTCTAACACTTTTTAAAATAAAGAAAAATTATGTTCCATGATAATTTATAAAGAGAAAATTTGGCATCTACTAAAGAGTTAATTAATAATTAATATTTGACTTTATTGTAAAATAAAAAAATTATCAAAAGAAAATTTAGCTAGTCATATTGAATTATATTATTCTGCCTCTAAATTTTTTTTTACAAGAGAAAACAAAAAGAAATTTTTTCTAAGTTAAGAAAAAAGATGGAGAACTCAATTATTTTAATTCTTTACCTTATATTTTTTTAAAGAAAATCAAATCTTTTTGAGTGTCTTCTTCTCATATATAAGTGATTTTTTTATAGATAAGTTCGGTTCATTCACTATCATATTTTCTTATAAAATAAATTTTTATCAGTTATTAATTAAAAATATATTTTATACTTGATTCGATTTTTCCTTTTTAAAAAATAAAAGTTGTATATAAAAGAAATATTTTGTGAAGGAAGATATCATTCGAAATAAGTTTTTACAATTGTTTAAAAATGAAAAAAAAGGAATTATTATAAAGTCAATAATAAGAGTTTGTTACACTTTTATGGTAGGTTATGATTTTTTTTTAAAGTTTAAAGTAATATCGTCACCTCTGAGTGTTGGTTTGATGTACAAATCCCAAATATGACATTAAAATGAGAAAATAAGTTTAATTAAAATTTCTACAAATAATACATTAATTAAATAGGATATATTAAAAATGAATCCCGGAAAAAAACCCCCTGAAAAAAACCCCGAAATTTTTTTTCGAATTTACTTGATCTAATAATATAGGTATATTTTTATTTGGATTTATATAAGGTATAGACAAATTAGTATTTTAGAAAAAAATATTATAAAAATATAATTTAATAATAAATTATATACATAATAATGATTTATCAATAAAATAAACAGATCTTATTGCAAATTTTGTCAAATTTAGTTTACTTAATATTGTAATTAAGGATGGATATTGTATTTATTACTATAGCAAAATTTTTTACGAAAATAAGTAATACTTAGGTTATTTTACTAGGATATTTTTTTTTCCCAGTATCAATTTGAATATTAGCATTTTTTTTTGTTTAAGCACTGCGATTTTGTTTTCAATGTCCAACTACCTACACGCCATCGTTTAAGTTGGGTTTCATCGGCAGCCACCTTGCATTTCATTTTTTTTAATCAATACCCAGATTGATGGGTGTTTATTCCCAACCAGATTAGAAAAACGATGATTCGAACCTTCACATTGATTATTTATGAGTTATTAGTTGGATAGAGTGCTCTGATTCAAGTTTCTGGAGGAAATCGAGGCCCAATTCGACCTGTCTGGGATTGATAATTGCTTCTTGTGACCTCCCTTGATACTCCATTGATGTAGGAGTAACCGATCTAAGGAATGCCATTGCATTGGCCATATCAAATAAAGGAACAAATGCTAAGCTGTTCATCATGTCACAAAAAAAGCTTAGGGCTTCATTGATTCTGTAGTGGCTTTCCAGAACTAGCTTTTAAATTTTTCTATGGGTACTTTGACACAAATGGTAAAAGCATCCTCTGATTATTATGTGATCTCCTAATCAAAAAAATAAATATAAATAATTTAACATATTAATAATCATACCAATGACAGTTTTAACCGCGCTCATAGCAGACTTTTCTAAATCCATATATATATATAATGGATCAAAAAATAAATCCCGTTCTTGACATTTAGACATTATTACTTCGAATATTTTTTCGTAAATATTTTTTTTTTTTTTGGAGTCTATAAGCTGTTAATGATTGTGGCATTCGCTTATAAAATTATTTATCAATATTAATTATTGCTAGGTTATACTAAAAAATTAAGTGAAAATTGAGAAGAAAAAAATTGAGAATAGGTTAGAAAAATAAAGATTAACAATGACTTAAAGAAAAAATTGGAAGAAAATAATAAATTGAGAAAAATTTAAGAAAAATTGACAAGAAAAAGTTTTAAAAAAATAACGATTTTCTTTCTTTTTAAATTTTTTTTCCATGGGGTTTTTTTTCCTGGGCGTTTTTTCCAGGGGTTTTCCTGGGGATTTTTTTCCTGAAGGTTTTTTTCCGCGGGTTTTTTTCGGGATTTTTTTTTCCTATTACTATTAAAAATAAGTTATAATGAGGCTAGGCCACGCTAATATATGAAATACTCATCTATATAAATATTTATTTTTAAATTTTTAAAAAAGTTTATAGATATTACTAATAACTCATACACAAATGGTAGTTTATTTTAAACATTATCTGAATTAGGACATAAGAAAAATAATGGAATGGGTATTAGATGATTTATATAAAGGTTTAATGGGTTTAGCAATATGCAAGTGCACTTTTACCCCACTTTCCTTCAAGTTAAAGGAAATGAAAAAAATCAGCTTATCTTACCCGATCAACATTAATTTACCTCTCTCCTATTTTATTCTAATAATGATAAAGCCTTCACAACCTCCTACCCTCCAATTTTAAAGACCATTTTGTGTTCCCCCTTGATAGATGTGCCTGAATATGCATAGTCATATTCAAAAGCCAAATATTATTAAATTATTCGTTTTGCGAATATAAAATTATTCGATTCGAATAAAACGGATATAATTCTTTTATTCAAAAGTTATTCAGAAATAATATTAATATTTTTTAATCAATCTTAATCATTTGTATTGATAGCTGTAAAACCGACAGATTATATAATTATCGATGTTATCTACCTTGTGAGAGACTTCTCTTGGAACTAATTTGTTGTCAAAAAATGATATGTCTTAAAAAGAAGAAACAATTAGAAAATTGGCTTCACTTTATAAATTAAATATGCATTTTAATTTCGTCAATAATTTGATCAAGGGTGTCACTAGCCTTATCAATCTCAGGGGGCTCAAAAATATTTTTAAATTTTTTTAGGCAACATTTTTAACATTATCATTTTTTTAGGTATAAAAAAATTTCAGGCCTCTGTTAGTTACATTATTGAATCACATGTTTCATCAGATTATCATATTAATTTTTTCTGGTTAAAATTAGATGTGAAACATATTAAATATATACTCAAATAAAAGAAATAATTGAAAAATATTTTTTAAAAAAGGTGTCAATGTATTAATTATTCTATAATTAAAAAACAAATTATTCGAATTGCTTAGGGTTATTATTTGAACTAGTGATATGCATCGGGCCTAATTTTTCAAGCCGGGCCCGAAATTTTTTTAAAAAAGTTTTGCCGGCCCGGCCCGAACCCGAATTTTTTTAGAAAGTTTTACTGGCTCGGCCCAAATCCGAAATTTTTCTTAAAAAATTTACCAGCCCGGCCCGAATTTACTTAAATACAGGAATTAATTTTATAATTTAAAAGATATATGTTATATGGCGTGTAGTTTCTATAAATAAAATCATATATTTTTATTTTACATTAAAAATTCAACATAAAAATTGATAAATTTAAGATATATTTAAAAATATTTCCATGGCCTGACCCGACCCGGTCCGAATTATTTTAAAATATATTAGGCCCGGCTCGGAGCCCGTTTGGCCGGGCCGGGTATGGGTAGGGACTACTTTTGCAGATCTCTAATTTAAAATATTCGATAACCAACCGAATACTTCGTGAAATGGTATATACATTGTCTTTTATATATTATTAAAAGCCCCATTGGGTATCAATGCAAAAATATGGTCAAGTAAATACACAAAGAAGAGACTTTCGCTAGCTTCCTAATTTAATCTAAAAGAATTACTCAAAGACATATATTTAAAAAAATTGTCAAAATTTTCAAAAAGTACATTGCAATGACTTATATTAATGGAGCGTGATCAGCCAATATTGTTATTTTACTGCCCAAATGATGTGTTGACCTTATTTTAATTGACATTATATTCCTCTCAAAATATATATTGACTACTTCTTAACATAGCAAGCCTAATAATAAAAATGAGGCCATTACTTTCTTATTCGGGTGATTATCCAAATATACTATCTATAATAATTAGTAATTATTATCTAAAAATATTTAAATTAAAATTATTAGGTGACGGTGAGATAATACGATTCAAATTTATTATTTTGATATGTGACCTTCATTTTATATATATATTTTTTTAATAATTGTGTTTTTTTAATGCGAATTAATCTTAATAGGATACAAAAGAATTAATTTTAATTATAATTATAGATAAATCACAAAATTTGGGTTATTAACAGCTTAGAAAAGTTTAATTAAAATCGGTTTGATTTTTTTTTTAAAGTAAAAAAATATTCTAATTTAAAATAATTATTACGCATTCATATACCATAATTTAAATTAAATTTTTTTAGAAAATATGTTATCAAAATTCACTCACATTATAATCTTTACTCTAGAAAGTTTTTTCTCCTCTATTTATATCTAATTAAAGTTATATAAAAAAAAATTTAAATAAAGAAGTCTTGCATAATATTTTATAAAACAAAGATATATAATGAATAAAGAGTTAGCGCCTTAAATATTTGATCTCATAACTTTAATAAATTATTTCATTCAGAAATTATAGTTAGTAAAAAAAACTGTTTATTTCAACAATTTTGCCCAAATATTTGTGATAAGTTCTAAGTTATAAAAAAAATTATACTTATCGTTCGTTACCTCTCACTCTGATTCACAGAGTACGATTCGTTAGCATCGCGCTTTACCCTGGTAATTAGTAAGTGTTAGTTATTATTCTCATGGGAAAATTAAATTTTTAACTATAAATAAGTCTGAGACTCAAATTCGAGTAAAATTACGAAGTATTAAGGATAATATATTATTTGCAATTTTTTAGTACCTTTGTTCCCCACCCTACGCCACTAGGAGGATATAATCTTGATTAAATTATATAAATAAACAATAAACATGTTTGCAATACACATTAAAACACATCCTATATTTTACCCTCTTACAAAATAAACAAGCTAGGGAGAAAATGGGGAAAATAATTTTTTTTTTCTTCTAGATATACCTAAATTAGGCTATCTATAGAATAAAAGGAATAATTCCGAAAAATAATTCGGCTAATGCCAACGAGTTATAATAACTTGCCCTTCAAAATAGCCAAGCTAGGGTTGATTCTATTTCTTATTTTCCTTATATATATATATAGAGGGTCATAGCTACGGGGAGGGGGGAGGCGGCAAAAAATTTTTTAGCCCCCAAACCCGGCCCCTAGAAAAAAACTTTGGCCTCCAAAATTATTTACGGTTACTCAAATTTAAAAAAAAATTATTAGTGATTTAATTTTAGTTACCATTAACAATTAAATCTTAATGAAAATACAATGCATTTTTAAGAAAAATATTATTTATTTAATTTATACAAATTTATAAACAAGAACATACTAAAAATATTGGTTATATAATATTCATTCACTCGTTTCATGAAAAAACAGCAAATTATTTCCATATTTTTTATACATCGTCAAAAAGACAAACCTCATCTTGAACATATAAGTCAGTGACTGATAGTACACACCATCATCTGGACTTGGAGGAGGAAATTGATGGTAAATACGTTAGTTAAAGTTTTTAAGTTAATTTTTATCAATTTTTCGATTTGATGCTATTTCTTAGCATACAGGAACTACCTTTTCATGGGACTGGTTCAACAAAAATTAAGGATGCTGCAAAAGATGAAAGCACAATTTATTCTTCTGGACTATATAGCAATGTTTTCATACACTCAAAAAGATCCTGAATTAAATAAAATTATTACCCAAAAAGGCTCAAAATACATCACCCCAGATTCAAAACGAAGTAATATCTATTAACGCAGACATGGTGCTTGAATATTTCTCAGATAAATATAACAAAAGTGCATTGTATAATATTTTTAGGCTTTTTGACGTATTTTCTGAATATTCAGGCCATACTCTTAAGAGTGGAAATCTCGCATTATTTATGAGAATTTTTGAGGCCATGAAGTATTATTTTACTTTTCTAATAGAACTCTCAATTCAGAGGTTTCCACTCATGATTTGGTCGAAGCTGCGGTCTTCTATCTCAATTATAATTTATGAAATATTAATAACAAACTATCTACAATCAATAGACACTAAACTAATCTGGTGGATGCTAAAAATTGTATTGATTCCACTATCAATATATTAAAAAATAAAAGAAACGATATTTCTTTTGATTTGATTAGAATGAAGACTGCAACTTTTAGCAAAATTTAATCTCATACCCCAAAAATCATTGAGGGTACGTAAAACGCCTATAAATTTCCAAGTTTTTTAGTCCAGACCAAATTACAATTTGATTGTGAAGAAGACTCCAATTGGAGTTCTTTAAAAAAAAATTGTTATGAAATTATTGATTACTTTATTGATCGTTTTTTAGATAGATTTTCACAAGATGATTATAATTCTATCCCTGATTAGTTTATAGCAGATAAAATAGCCCCATTAGAATCATTATTAAAATAAATGTGGAAACATTACATCTAAAGAAGCAAAAGGGTTATTAGTAGCAAAAGTTAAAGAAACACATAATTTTCAAAATATCCTAAATATTATGTATAAAAAAAATATCTTACCTTTAAAAAATTGTATAAATGCTATTTAGCAGCCATTATCATTGAGGTATTAACTCTTCTTGTGAGGCTCATTCTTTACACTAAGAGTTCTGTCTACCACTAGAGAATCGATGAAAGATCAACGTAAACAAAATTTAGTATTAATAACTTTAGGAAAAAGAATAACACAGAATTTATCTTTTAATTCTTTATGTTAAAATTAAAAAATAAAAATCGCCGCATTATATTATAGTATTATTTAGTATATTCATATTATAATATTATTTTGTATATTCAATATTACATTTACAAATTTTTAATAAAAATCGTCAATAATTTATGAATGCTTAATTATAAGTTTTATTTTTTAAAAATAGCGGCCTCCCTAAGTAAGCAGCTGCCCCCCCTAGAAATTCCTGGTTACGGCCCTGTATATATTAAGCTAAGTCTAAACAGTGGAAAAAAATTAAAAAATCCCCAAAATTTTAATAAAACTAAATTTGTGACATGTATATAACTTACAAAAATATTATAAAGAAGAATTGGTGGGGGAAAATATAGGTAGAAGCAGCGAGAACAATTACAGTTTAATATACAAAAATTTAATTTCCTCCAAAGATAAAGTCAATCTGATATGTCAAATTTATCAATCTCGTGAAACAGAAATGAATAACTTACATGCTAACGAGTTAATAACAATATGTATAAACCCCACTTCTAACGTTTTCTCAAAAAAATTAAATGTGAAGCATTAAAGGCGAAGAATCTGATACCTTATTTTAGAAAATTCTTTGGAATAATTCCTTAAGTCTCTTCCAGACAAATCGTTTTTTTTTTTTCAAAACGATTTTCTAGGCACGTTTCCGGAATTTTTTATTTATTTCCAAATAAAGGTAATAATTCTTCGAATTAATTTATATAGGCCTGAATTCTTGCCGATGCTAGTTTTTTGACTTTTATGCAAAAAATAAAATTGCTTATAACGTGCTTAGGAAACTAGTCCTGAATATATATAAAATCAAACAATGTTAAAATATGTTAATGAATGTTTTTAAAATTAAATTCAGAATTAAAATCAAATTTAAATTGGAATTCACCAATCATTTTGCCCTTAACCTACAAATATTGTTTATTTTTACTTTAGTACACCGGATTCTTATCAAATCAAACAAATGATATCATAGGCGCAGTCAGGTTGATTGTGGGGGGGGGGTATAGCATGACAGGTTTTTTCTCCATAAATTTTATTTAAAGTCCTTAGATATACTTATTTTAGGTGGCTATGTTAAAAGTTGTGGTTCGATAAAACTATTGGCGGGCAACGCATTACTTAAAAATCAAATCGGCTGCTGACAGTGGGCCGCTTTTTACTCTAAAAGCGGTATGAATCGGCTGAACAACATATTTTTTTTAATATGTAGTAAATTAAATGCTATTTTATTTTTTTTAAACGCTAAAAACTATTAAGTAAAAATATATGTTTTATTGCTATATTTTATTTTTTTTTGTTGAAAAAACTGATTATAAATTGAAATTCTATTTTATAATTTTATAGCCATGATGCATAAGAAGAAGAATTTTATTAATTGCCAGACATAGATGATCTTAAATTTAAGGTTAACCCAGTGATAAGGAAAACCCTTTCACTAATTTTGCTAGTTATTGGAACACAATTATTTTTTTGCGAGCATGGAAAGATATGGAAGTTCGATCCTCTTTTTTTCCAAAATTTCAGAACAACTACATCCTATGAGTAACGTTTTCCGATAAGAATATGTCATTCTTGATTATATTATAGTAAAATCATAATTTGTGTTTGTCATTGAATGTACTTGCTAACATGTAGGCAGGGGCGGACTGGCCTTAAGACCCGGTGGGCATTTTGCCCACGAGGCCGCGAGAAAATGTCTATTTTTGAGGCCGATCAGAGGAAAATATCAAAATAGAGGCCGATTTGAAAAAAATTATTATTATGATCACATTATTTTTTCTTATCATTTATTTCTTTTTAATGATATCTCTATCATTTAAATATCACATTCCTTGAGTTGTCATGTCATTTACTATATTTTATTGCATAATATATCAATAACGTCGCTTGACGCTACACATCATTACCACTTTCTTTTCTTTGTTTTTTTTTCAAATGAAGTGAAAACGTTTCCGTTTGAGTAGAGTCTAAGTGATTAATTTATTATATTATATTTTTATACATTGATTTATTGTAGAAATAATATAGTTAACATTTCTTGTTCTTAATTCATTGAAATCAAATAAAATCCAGGTCGGTGAATCAGATAAAAGGATAGATGCTTGGGTGAAACAGAATAATTTATCTGGCTAAAATAAGTTGAAAAGGCTGCAAAAAATAGGTGAGATAAGGTGGTGGGCACATGAAAAGCCCTTAGATGGATATATGGTAAAGAGAGCTTGCCCCCAATAACGATAAAGGCACTTCATAATAAATAATTTGAGACAAAAACTTGATAATTTATATAAATTTAAGACTTTAAGTACAGTTATATTATATTTGTAAATTTTTAAAATAATGGGACCACTGTCATATCTTCAAACTAAAAAATTAGGTACTTTGTCAG